CTTATTGATGAGGACAAGGCCCAGGCTTACGGCTTCGACCTTCTTGATCCCACCAAGTTCCTTCCCGAGGAGTTCGCCCCTCTCCAGGTTCTCGGTGAGATGACCCTCAACCGCAACCCTATGAACTACTTCGCCGAGACCGAGCAGATCTCCTTCCAGCCCGGCCACATTGTTCGCGGCGTCGACTTCACCGAGGATCCCCTGCTGCAGGGTCGTCTCTACAGCTACCTCGACACCCAGCTCAACCGCCACAGGGGCCCTAACTTTGAGCAGCTCCCCATCAACCGCCCTGTCTCTGGCGTCCACAACAACCACCGCGACGGTCAGGGCCAGGCTTGGATTCACAAGAACATCCACCACTACACCCCGTCTTACCTCAACAAGGGCTACCCCGCCCAGGCCAACCAGACCGTCGGCCGCGGCTTCTTCACTACCCCCGGCCGCACCGCGTCTGGCGTCCTGAACCGCGAGCTCAGCGCCACCTTTGACGACCACTACACCCAGCCCCGGCTCTTCTTCAACTCGCTCACCCCCGTCGAGCAGCAGTTCGTCATCAACGCGATCCGCTTCGAGGCCAGCCACGTCACCAACGAGCAGGTCAAGAAGAACGTTCTCGAGCAGCTCAACAAGATCTCCAACGACGTGGCCAAGCGCGTGGCCGTCGCGCTCGGCCTCGAGGCGCCCCAGCCCGACCCTACCTTCTACCACAACAACGTCACCCGCGGCGTTTCCATTTTCAACGAGAGCCTCCCCACCATCGCCACCCTCCGCGTCGGCGTCCTCTCCACCACCAAGGGCGACTCCCTCGACAAGGCCAAGGCCCTCAAGGAGCAGCTCGAGAAGGACGGCCTCAAGGTCACCGTCATCGCCGAGTACCTTGCCAGCGGTGTCGACCAGACCTACTCCGCTGCTGACGCCACCGCCTTCGATGCCGTTGTCGTGGCCGAGGGCGCTGAGCGCGTCTTCAGCGGCAAGGGCGCCATGAGCCCTCTTTTTCCTGCTGGCCGTCCTAGCCAGATTCTTACTGATGGTTACCGCTGGGGCAAGCCCGTTGCTGCCGTCGGCAGCGCCAAGAAGGTGCTCCAGAGCATCGGGGTGGAGGAGAAGGAGGCTGGTGTTTATGCCGGTGCTCAGGATGAGGTTATCAAGGGCGTTGAGGAGGGCCTCAAGGTGTTCAAGTTCCTTGAGCGTTTCGCCGTTGATGGTGATGATGAGGAGTAAGTAGATTGGATACCAATGGAATGACCAAAGCGAGGAGGAAAGGGTAATGCTTAACGAGCTGATGATGAGAATTTGATGATTTGTCCGTTTTGGAAAACGAACAAGCGATCCATGGGGAGGTTGAGCTTTGGATCCAGGGGGTTAAACTTTTTGTACATATCTTTACCTACCAGTACTTAATCTGAAAGAAAAAAAAAGGGTACGAGATGCCAGAAATCCGAATCTTTGCTATTTGATGAGTTCGAAGAAGTAACGGCAACAATGCACCAACATGATGCGTCGCAGGAACTATGGGTCACGTGGATGGCTGCAGAATGAGTTGTCAAGTGGTTTCCGGCCTTTCCCCATCGAACTATTGGCTTGGGAATGGTTGTTGTTTTATTGAAGTCTCGTGATGTTCAGGTCATGGTGTCGTGGTGGTATTGTGTGTGCTTGCATGTCGCCCGTGGTCGTCCATGCTTCAGTAAAGGTGCGGACAGCGTCAACTGAAGATCGCCGGTTGCACAACCAAAAAAGAGAGACCAAGATGTGTGTTACTGCTTTATCGTAATACCCGCCCTGGCCGTATGATCTCGATATTATGTTTGGTGTTGAAAAGATCAAGCACGCAGCTGAAGGAATAGATTAATGCAAGGTAAGTATCAACTTACCCGACAGTAGAGCTGTTGCCGCCGGCACTAAACACGCCGCTGGGGCACCGCTTTGGGTCCACGTGTGCTGGGCTTAGGCGGAGCCCTCTGCACGTCTCCCGCTGCAACCGCGCCTATGGCCGATGACGTTAGCAGTCCCCTATCGCAGCAGCTGGAGATAAGGCTACCTAGAGGTACATGCGACAACGGGCAGCAACCATCAGGGTGCAGCTGACACACACCTAATTCAACACCTATCACCTATCCCGTCCATCGCCATCCATCCCGACGTGTGCGCACGCTTTCATCCCGTGTCGCCGACGCATGATGGTTTGATCCTAATATCCCCGCGATTCTCCACCATCAAACCGTCGAATCAGACACATCAAACGGCGAACGGAATCAAGGCAGCCGACACCGGAAGTGGGTTGGATCGCGGAGGACGGTCAAGGCGATTCACGAGTCGTGAACGCCAGTTGCACTCTTTTTAAGACGGACTTTCGACATTACAAGGACGCCGGCAGCATTGAATGTCGGCAGATCAGCCCAGTATTAGACTTGGTCCCATACCGACAAGTTCCAGCGGAGATTCCAGACATCTCCAAGGGTCGACGACAGCTACCCGTGACAACGGACCACCAACTATCATGGATCGACTAAAGAACTTCCTGACGCCGGTGAAGGCAACCGACGACGAGTATGAGCCGCTGGCAGACGACTCCTCATTGACACTCGAGGAGGAAGGAGAGACATACGAAGACCAGGCGCCTTTCTCATGGATAGAATACGCCATCTTCGCCTTGATCGGCGTCGCCATGCTCTGGGCATGGTATGTCCATGATACCCACTCGCGATACTTATCCTGCTAACCACCCATTGACACTACAGGAACATGTTCCTCGCTGCTGCTCCCTACTTTCAAACCCGGTTCGAATCCAACGAATGGATCCTCGCCAACTCCCAATCCGCTATCCTCTCCGTCTCGACAACCGCCAACCTCCTGGCTCTGCTCGTCTTGATGAACATTCAGTCCTCAGCCAACTATCCTTTGCGTATCAAGGCCTCTCTGATCGTCACCATTGCCGTCTTCGGACTCTTGACCATCTCGACTGTCGCCTTCCGCAATGTCTCCCCGACCACCTACCTCGTCTTCCTGCTGCTCATGGTCGGCGCCTCCGCCTGGGCCTCCGGCATGTTGCAAAACGGCGCCTTCGCCTTCGCCGCCAGCTTCGGTCGACCGGAGTACACCCAAGCCATCATGGCCGGCCAGGGCGTGGCCGGGATTCTGCCCCCTCTAGCACAAATCGTCTCCTACCTCGCGGTGCCTCAGTCCGGCGAATCCAATCCTCCCTTCAACTCAACAACTGCCGCCACCACTACTCTTGACAGCACCCCAGAAGCGGCCCCCAGCACCTCGGCCTTCATCTACTTTCTCACCGCCGTGCTAGTCTCCCTTGCCACCCTCATCGCCTTCTACCCCCTCGTCAAGCGACACACCGCGCTCGTCGAATCCCGCCTCATGCTCGACGAAGACACCCAGCAACAACTCCTCTCGCAGTCCATCATCTCCCTCGAGGAAGCCGAGCGGCTTCGCCGACACTACGTCAGCCCTTCTACCCTTTTCCGCAAGCTCAATTGGATTGCCGTCTCTGTCTTTTTGTGTTTCGTCGTAGCCATGTTCTTCCCCGTTTTCACAGCCAAGATCCTGTCCGTCCACGATGACTCTGTCATCTCCCCTGGCCCGGGGGAAAAAGCGTCGTCTATATTTACTCCCGGAGCCTTCATTCCCCTCGGCTTCTTCTTCTGGAACCTCGGCGACTTGCTCGGTCGCGTATCCCCCATGTTCCTCCCCTTTTCACTGCGGGATCGCCCCGTAGCCTTGTTCGCGGTGGCGGTCGCGAGACTGGTCTTCTTGCCCATGTACTTGCTCTGCAACATCCGTGGTCAGGGAGCGGTGGTGGATAGCGATCTGTTTTATTTGTTGGTGGTGCAGTTGCCCTTTGGCTTGACGAATGGGTGGTTGTGTACGAGCAGCATGATGGCTGCCGGGGAGTGTGTGGATGAGGGCGAGAGGGAGGCGGCCGGCGGCTTTATGAGTATGTGTCTTGTAGGTGGCTTGTCGGTGGGGAGTTTGGCTAGTTTTAGCGTTGCTAGCATCTGATGTCGTTGATGTTGGTGTAATTCCTTTTTTCTCTTTTGTTTTTTTTTAATCTCCGATTTCGTTTTCTTTTTTGGGGAGCGAAATGTTGGATATAACGTAGGATGGAGTGGATGGACTGCTTGCAGGCACATTGTGGTTTGTGTTAGCGAACTGGGAAGGTTAGAGGCGTTATGGTGTTGGATTGCGTTAGCGAAGGTCTTGCTAGACTAGAAAGATCAGACCTGTGATGAACTCGTGGCATTTAGAAGATATATACCCAATCCCAACATAAAATAGAATGTCAGTAAATTCCCAGTCCCCAAGACACATTATCGCAACAGATATCATGTAGTTGGAAGTTTGAACAACGTTGACATGACGCAGGTTCATATGTATGTTCCATAGTAGTACAACGGAGTGAGGAGTCGCATAACAACCCTGGGGTATTGTAAACTTATCCTTCCCATCCCATCACATCATCTTCCTCCACCCTTCTTCATCTGTTTGTCCGTCCGTTCGCCTGGCTGTGGCGGTCCATCCTCATGGTGTATCTCAATAAAGAACAAAAAACTTTTTTTTTCCCCTCTTCCCTTCGCTCTTTACAGTCATCATCTCTTCCTCTTCTCCCTTCTCTAGAAGTACACTATGTACTACTCTCCAAGAAAACAGAAAAGAAAGAACCCAAACAACCCCATTTTTCTAGGTGATGTTCGTTCTTTTTGTAGGCCCATCACCAACCCACAAACCAATGATATCAATCCATGGAAACGAAAGCCAAATGTGCCACCACCGTCAGAAAAGCGTTGAAAATCAAAGAGTAATCGATCATGGGGTTCCGGTTCGTGACTCCACCCCTCCGAAACGCCGTTGGAAAATCATATCAGAGAAAGAGTAGAACCCGCTTGCCTGAGAAAACCAAGAAAGGAGGAGCGGAAAAAACTGTACGGCAAAATGTGATCGGCACATGGAAGAGCGTAGCACGCCCGCAATATGACAGTCCCCAGGCTCATCTATCTTGGTTCATAAGCCGGTGGGGGAATGTCATGCTGGTGGCTCTCCTCCCAAAAAGCAGGATTGCGGTTCTTCTCGTCATACACACGGCGGGCAATCTCACCCGCAATTTTGGTGATCCAAGCTTGCTCAAGAATCACCGAGGACATATCTGGCTGAGGACCAGCACGTCCCCACTGTTGTTGTTGCTGTTGCTGAAACTGCTGCTGCTGGCCTTTGGCATCTGCGTAGATTGACGCAGTGGATTCGGCCTTTTCGGACACTCTGCTGGAATACGACGGCGGCATCTCCTGCGCCGACGTTTGTGGAGCTGGGCTGCTAGGGAACATGGAAGGCTGGCGAGTATACACATGCTCCTGGGGAGAGGCAGCCCGCGAGGGCTGGGCAGTCACGGGCACACTTGGGACAGCAGCACGCGGACCAGACGATTCAGAAGCCCTGGCAGATGTAGTAGCGTCTGTGGGAGGCCTGAACCTCACCTTGCTCTGGGATGCAGCCAGATCATCTTCTGGTACCTCCCGTATTGTTGTAGGGATGACAGGTTCAGACATGGGTGTACGGGTCGAAGCCTCGGAGTGGCTATCGCCAGCTTGGCTGCTGGTGCTACCGATCTCGCTGACAGGCTCACTCGCCGCCGTCTTGCTACGCAGGTTGACGACCCGCATCTTCTTCTTGCGGCCCGCCTTGGAATGCCTACCAGAGCCCAGAGACAAGCCCGTAGTGGCGGACCCCATACTCACCAAGGTCGGCCTGGATAGAGCGTGACCACTAGCCTGACTGCTGTTGTCTGAGAAAGTGTAAGTATGGACACTTCCCTGGTACGAAGACGTCCGGTGGAGGTTGGGCGTAGATGCCGGAGTAGCTGTGGCATCAGGCTTGTCAGACTGCCCAGCCCAAGCTCTGAACACTACCTCGAGAATGTTTGGTGTTAGGAGAGATGAGGTACGGTGAGCACGGGCAAGGGCATCCATCTTTTCGAGGTTCTTTTGCGAGAACAACGATTGTGTCTCGGGACCCCCGTCAAGAGATAGTGACGAAATCTCGGCAGGATCCAGACGATGGCCATGCGCATCCACAGCGTCAAGTGGTGGTGTTGCCAGCGGGTTTATCGCCGCATCACTTTCCTCCTTGGCTTCCTCATCCTCCTTTGGAACCTGATCCGGGCACCACAGTTGAAGCGAGAGACGATGGATGATTGCTGGAAGTTCATCCATGATCAGGTCTCGCAACTTCATCTCGATGGTTTTTTGAAGGTAATCCCTAACGAACTGAATGGAGTCGAAGGTCGAAGAGACCTTGAGAGACTCGAGAGGGTCATTTCGAAAGACTATTGTGAGGCCCTTTTGCTTGGAGAAAACTAGGATGATGAAGGCCGACAGCTTGATCTCGGACAGGGTGATCTGAAGCGGTATTGTAAGCGATGACGATGCCGTCAGGGGTTCTGGTGACGTGAAGCTGGGTTTGGCGGATATGTACGTGTTTAGCGGGTTCGCCTATCAGTTGATTTATTAGCATCACTCTTGTTAACCCTGGACAGTCTTGGTGTACTATGGTGATATGGGTAAGTTAAACCCGTGGATCAGGTCGTTGGACACACAGTGCCCACGAACCTTTAGCTTTAGTGGTCAGTGCAAGATACCTGACAGGGAGGTAAAACTTTTGCTCGTAACCGCAGTAGCGCAAAAGAGACGTGCAGCACCTGGAGAGACCCCTGCCAGGTGATCTTCGGTAATTTGGGGCAATGCGCCAAGGATGCCAAGTAAAATCTCCAGCCTTTCGGGAATTTTCTCGCGGGTGGGTGCCCAAGCCAGCTGAAGCACGAACGAGAAAGCCGTCCTCAGAAGTCCTGTTGTATGGTTTTTGTAATCCACACATATACAGTGTATCACCAGTCTTGAGCTTGCCAGAGCGCTGAGCACTTGCCCACCAGCTCGCCCACTCCCTTGATCCGAAAAATCGTCATGATCCACGTCGGCTTGAAGAAAGCATGTCCCATGTTCGGAGCACTAGCCACAGTGGAGCCATGTCGTCGGGAGTAGGTACTGGCAAAAGTTCGTAGCGCTCGTCCAATGGTTCCTCGGATATTCATGTTACCGCACTGCGCACTGCGCAGTAGCTTCCTCGACGAATGGTGGGGGAGAGAAAAGGCAAAAGCAAAAGCTCCCAACATGGTGTGAGAGCCATTGACAAAAAAGCCTGGAAAAGCCGTACCTGCACTCGTGTTGCCAAAGTCAAGAAGGCGTCGCCAGAATAGCACATTTTGAAAATGCCGCGGAACCTGTCCTCTGCCAAATCTCCTATTTCCAAAATCTCCAGGTCGGGCGGCACGGAGCCAAGGTTGAGTTCGGTCACGAAGATGTCATCGACAATGATCGGGGGCTTGGGCGACTTGTTCAAGGCTGTCGTGAGGAGGTCGCGTGCCCGTTCGTAGAAGCCGGCGTCGGCCGTCAGCGGCGACCAGTTGAAGTTGAAGGCCATATTGAGTTGGCGTTGTCTTTAGTCAGACATGGCAATCGGAGGGCGGGTGTTGAATATGGTTGCTTCCGTCGGTGCGGAGGAGACGCTGGGTCGTCGAAGATTGCTGGCCAAATTGCCAACAATGACGGAACTCGGAATGCGACCCGAAATACGATGCGTTCGACGATGCGCTCGGGATCGGTCGCGCAGCAGTGGTGACAGTAGATATTCGACTCCCCGATCGAAGGATGTTGCGGAAAAAGAGACCTGGGAGTCCGGAGGTTGTGCGGTTTGGTATTGTAGAATTGGCAGAATTGCCCGGGGTAGCGGGTGTTGTAGGTAAGTTCACGTGCTGAGGTCGGCGGGAGCTGGAGATTACAATGGGGTCAGGATGTGGACAGGATGACCATGACGCTATTTTGTGGGCGGGCCTTTTTCTGAAATTTTTCGCGCGTGTCGCTCTTTCGTTCACTTCATGCACTGCAGTCAGAAGCAGGCAAGTGTGACTGCGTCAGGGTGCAAGGTGGTAGAGGTACGTGGGACGCTGTGTGGCTTGGGGGTAGCAGTGCGGGTGGCACCGGATCTTCTGACGCTGTCGCTGATGCTCACTTGGCAGTCCCTCAGTGGGCTGACATTGGCTGGGGCGGCGATTTGGGTACAACGAGCGCCTGATATGCTCAACTCCTGCTCGTTAATCGAACCGCGTGGAAGGCGTTTTGTCGTTCAATCAAGACTGGTTGAGGAATAGCATTGTTTATTAATTGTCTACACTGCATAATACATGGAAGCGGTCAGGCAGAATGAAGTCTACAAGACAGCACACTAAGTCCGAGGTACGCATTGAAACACGCTCCAACCTATGCAGGGACAGTCGCTGCAACCGGACGTTAGCAGTGTCTTGTCTTGATCTGCTTAATCGGCGCAGCTTGTTTAGCCATAGACGAAACAAAAAGAAAGTGGAAAGGGGAGAATTGATGCGGATGCTGGATGCCCTGCGGAACGTAGGTAAGGTACAACCTACAGTACCTCTACTTGATGCCGTATGAATGGGATGAATGCAGTGGGAGCAGTGGTGCGCTCTTGCCCTGCCGTTGTGAAGCAGCTGGAAACATAGGGCACTGGAACCCCAGCGGCACTCACCAATGACGACGCAGAGCCTCCCACCAAAACCCTCCAAGACAGCCCAGGAGAATGAGGGGAAATAATCCAATGCACTTCAAAGAGGCATATCGCATTGGCACATCGAACCAATGTCTCAGTCATCATTGGAACGGACTGAACGGTTGTTAGGGCCTTTCAAGTGGATCTTGAGCCTCGGGAATGCGGAGGGGGGAGGCAAGGTAAGCCTCACCAGTCGGGGAGAGCCCGGAGGTTTTTTCGACTTTAAATCCCGAGAGGGGTAACCCGTCGTGTGCTTTCGTTGTGAGGGACAGCCACACTTGTTTGTTTGGCTTTGGGCACTGATGAATCTTGTCCGTTATCCGTCGTTATCGGATCCATCGGCAGGACCCGTCACATTCGGGAAGCCTCGGTTTCTGGGGTATCTGTTTGGAGACGGGGACCGGGGCACCGGGCGGGGTCATGAAGATGAACCCGATGTTCTGGTGTCAGTGGAATGTTGTGTCTTCCGGGGTGGATACTCTGGAAAGGACGGTTCCCCAAACACCTACCTTGTGCTTATACGCAGTTACACGTATGTATGGTCAAGGGGGACATCACAGCGGCTTTGTGTCAATACGACTGTCCAATGCTCAGTTTTGCTGTGGTTCAAAAATAGATTCCTGGAACGTCTTCCCTTTCCATTCCGTACCTTGAATCCAAAAGATTGATTGAAACCATGGGTCACTTCGTTGACAAAACTTCATTACCGTAGTCAAAGTGAAAGTTCAATGACAACTGACATTTAGCATCACAATATCAGACGAACTCCATTGCTGCCCTGATGATCTTCAGTGGCAAGAACAACTCAAGCTTCACTCGGCTCACCATTGCCAAGAAAGGCATCACTTACCAGTTACTGTGCCCGTTTGTTTTGGTTACACGTTGCCGCTAGCCCCAAACAATTCCTACCTTAGCTGAAACCGCGCCTCCTTTCTACGTCACAATGTCAATCAGCAACTCCAACGGAAAACAACAAGCCAACTGCAGTCATTCATTGTTCAACTTGCAAACGAACTGAATTGTAGTAAACGTAATCATGTCACCAAAACCAGTAGCAGACCTAGCCAGCTTGAAAGGCACCAATTGCCAGTTCAAGTTCATCGGTGAAGGCGCCGCCAACATAGTCTTTGAGGTTGTCTTTCCTGAGGAAGACATCACCACTCAGGATGATGGCGATAGTCAGATCTTGGACATCCTACAAGGTGACTATTACCTTTAGCCCCATTCACCACATGAGACGTCAATACTAAGATCATCACAGGGAAACTCTTACGAGTACCAAAGGCCAATACCAAAGCCTTTCCACACCCCGAAATCCTTCAGTACTGGGAGTCATCCATCAGTCCACTCTTCGATAACCCCCAGGAAGACCTAGTACAGCAGCACCTCATTCGTCTGGACAATTCCGTCGTCTCACAACTGAATGCAATTCTTGAAAATGAAGACGCCCAGCGTAGGGCAGATTTCCAGGGTACCAAGGTGGCCGAGGCCGAGTATGGCATGTTGGTTGAGGATATGAGGAAGAGTTTGTCCCTCTTCACCTTTTCCCCCCCTTCCCTCCAGCTCTTTTGTCTCTAACTTAAATCCCCTTCCCCCCGCAGAATTCCCATTAGACTTCCTTCTAGAATTCAAACCCAAATGGCTCACCCCTTCCCCCTCCGCCCCCTCTACCGCCACGCGCTGCCGTAACTGTGCCCGCGAAGCCTACCGCCTACACAAATCGCTTCGCTCCGCTTCCTCCGACCAAAACTCCTCCTGTGCCCTTAGCCACGAGCCACCGTTCTGCCCCCTCGAGTACCTAGCCGCTCAATCCTCGCCCTGCTCTCTAGCCCGAGTCATCGCATCCATCAACCTCTCCGCCATTTCCGCTTCTTTGGACACCAAGCCAGCGACGAGGGAGAATCCCGTTGGTGTGCAACCGGCTGTTTCTCTGGATGGCGAGGACGATGGCAGGCCAGGAATGGACCAAGTAGACGAGCGCTACCGCGTCGCGCTTGTTCACTGGCTGCAAAGCAATTCGTTGCTGCCCAAGCTGCGGGACGCGCAAGAGAGCTTGGACCCGGCGCCGGAGGGGACGAGTGACCAGGAGAAGCTGGCGTTGGCGATGACGTTGAGGGATTGTACCTGTTTTGTGAGGATATCGGAAGACTCGAAGGGAGGCTTGAAGGTGGAAGCCAAGCTGGCGGATTTGGATAAGAAGAATTGGGAGGCCAAGTTGGAGTATTGGAAGGGGATGGATGAGGTGTTGAAAGAGGGGGGGTATTATGAGGGGGTGGAGGTGCCGAGGATTCGGACGAGGTGTTTCATGGAGGTTGGGGCAGGGGAGGCGGCCTGAGAGTTTATGCCATTGATGTTGTCATGGGCTTTCAAGGGAGATGGATGGGCACTTGTAATGGTGATGGTTCGGTGCCGTGCTGGCCTTTAACAACCCTAAATGATGAACGATAAAGCGCCGTTTTCCTTACCCAACACTAGCAATGCAATTTGTGACTCCCTGGCTGTTTAGCACCCATGAACGCCATAACTCCCTTTACTCAACATAATCCGAATCAGATGCCACACGGTAACGCTGCCTCCGAGCCGCCTACTGCGCTGAACGCTCCTCGACTTCCTTCTAGGCAGCCTTAGCGCTCTCCGCCCTCAGTGCCTCCAGCCGTTTCTGCTTCTTCTCCAACTCCTCCATCATCTGCTTCTTCATCTCATCCACCTTTAGCTTCGCCTCCTTGAGCTTCTGAATCTCCAACTGCTCCGTCTCCCGACTGAACGGCTGCCCGGGTCTATTAACCAGAGGAATCATCGCGCTCCTCTCCAGCACGCCTCCCTCGGACTTTTGTATCACAAACGGCTCCTCTTTTGACTCATTATTGTTCTTCCCGTCCTTGTTCGTGCTCACACTAGCCCGCGAGTGACTCCTCTCGTGCCCTTTCTTATTTCCGCCCTTGCTGCTGCTCGCCCCGGGCGTGTTCGCGCTGGTCGGCGTCGCGGCGCCACTACCGCCGCCGCCGCCGCCGCCGCCGTCTTTCAGTGTTGAAGCCGATGGCGGGAGGGCGCCCGAGATGAGGATATCGTAAAAGGGCTCGTAGGGTTCGTTGAAGATCTGTTCCTCGTATACCCAGGAAATGACCTCGCCGCCGTTGAGGCGCATAGCTTCCTTCTCTTCTTCGGTGCGGCCGAATGGGTGCAGGCGCAGATGGTGATAGAGCGTTTGAGGCTTCTCGGAGGATTCGGGGACGTAGTACAGCTTCATGGTGATTTCGAACTCACCCCAGCCGGTCTCGTGTATTTGGAAGGGTTGGCCTTTGACCCCTTCTACCACTGGACGGAGGGACACGGTTGATTAGCTTAGGTCGAAGGGGATGGAAGGAGGTATGAGAACCGGATGTAGGGACGTACTTCGAACATGGTTTGGAATGGACTCGTGAAGCTTAAACTGAACGCGCCGAAGCCAGTACGTAATGTCCACATCGTCGATGCCCTTGATGAAAACGGTCCAGGAGTGCGTGTGATCATCTGGAACGCCGGGCGGTTTGGGGTTGGTCTTTTCGTCGAAGGGCCGTGCTGTTGTTCCGTAAACGAAGGGTCGAAATATTTGAACGCCCTTGACACGCTTGCCTGTAGGTGGTGCCATCTTGTTTGGCGGTGATGGTTATGGATAGATTGAAGCTGTTCGAAGTGTTGAGATTCGCGCTGCTTCGCGGTGGTTTCGACAGACGCGGTAGGCCAATTGGCAAAGCTATAGTTATAGCGATATAGACTAGCTGGGCATACGCAAGTCGTTTATCAGACCTGAATTCGACTACACCACTGTGTACGGGAGGAGTGATTCTTGAAGAAGTGAAGATGGCGCAACGAGAACAAAATGATGATTACAGGATTACAAAAGTGCCACCACCAGCAAGGTACCTGCATGAAGGATGGAGAAAAAAGTCGGGCGTGTTCCAGCCTTGAATGCGGGGCAGAGAAGCCCAACTGTTAAGGTTCCCTTTCCCTCCGGGGTTTAGCGGACCCTTGGCCCTGCGAATTTATCGAAAAACATCAGTGCCACCCTTGTAGATGATCGTTCGATAAGGATTTTTCGAGTCTGGATAACGGATCGGGGCTCTCCATGATGCAATCGTCTGGGGTTTCGATTGTTTACTTCTGCGGATAGAAAATCGGGGAGGAAACCTGGAAGGGTAACCTAGCTTATAGCCGAGAAAGAGTCTGACAAACATAAAAAGAACCTAACCAGCCAATCTGTTTGAGCTGCCTGTTCTTCAGATAATCTCTTTCTTCCCAAGTTCTCACCGTCAAGCAAGCTTCCATCATGTCGTCCGCCGCAAAGAAGCTTATCGTCGCCGGAGGCAACGGTTTCCTGGGCTCCAGGATCTGTCAGGCGGCTGTCCACAGAGGATGGGATGTAACATCTATCAGGTATTATACTCAGACACCTCCCTCCTTGACTGATCATTTCACCCTTTGCAAATGGTTGAACTGACCACCTCTTCTACGTCCAGTCGCTCCGGCCAACCCAACTGGTCTTCCGTATCCGCCTCCCCCTCCGCTCCCTCCTGGTCGACCGCCGTTTCTTGGGAGCGCGCCGACATATTCCGCCCCGCCGAATGGATCGCCCTCCTGAACGGTGCTGACTATGTTGTCCATTCTTTGGGCATCCTCCTCGAAGCCGACTACAAGGGCGTCATCTCCGGTCGGGAGTCTCCTATTGCAGGCCTCCAGAAGGCCTTCTCGCCCCGTCACACCCCAAACCCGCTCGAGCGTCGTCCTGGTGACGAGCTCCATCCTCCGACCAACGCGAACCAGTTGACCTACGAGATGATGAACCGCGATAGCGCCATCCTGCTCGCCAAGGAGGCCGCTAACAAGGGCGTCAAGGGCTTTGGCTACATTTCCGCTGCGGGAGGAGCTCCCGTATTGCCGAGCAGGTATATCTCAACCAAGAGGGAGGCTGAGGACGTGATCGCGCGGGAGTTCCCCGGCATGCGGAGTGTATTCTTCAGGCCGCCATTCATGTACGACAGCTCGCGGCCTGTGACGATGCCGTTGGCGGCGATGACCATGGCGGGAAGTATCTTCAACGGGGCCACAGGAGGAGTGCTATCCAACTTCTTGGGGAGTGCGGGGACGAAGCCTCTCAAGGCAGATCTGGTTGCGGAGGCGGTGGTGGAAGGATTGGACGATACAGCGGTTAAAGGGGCAGTTGAGGTCCCCGAGCTGGAGACGTTGGCGAACAAGGGTTGGAGGAGAACTATGCTTTGAGAGCAAAGAATCGGCTCAAATGGTCTGTATTTTACCTGAATCATAACCTTGGCAATGTATAAAACGATGATGCTTGACATATAAAAACCAGTAATCAATCCTTCAACGCCGTTTCCTCTTCGCATGAAGCCCAGAGTTACCCTACACCATGGTTCCTCTCTCAAAGCTGTCCCTAATCTCTGCCGTGTACTTGTTATAGAACCTCGACAGCTTCTGGTTGAACTGCTTGTTCTTCTCGTTGATGTACGTGACGTCCGCATCGTCGCCGTTGTTCGCCATCCGCTCCCTCCTTTTCTTAAGGCTGGCCTCCTCGGCCTTGCGCATATCGGCCACCAGTCGATCAACGGCCGCCTTGTCGGGCTTGTGTTGCGCGAACTGCGTCGAGTCTGCCGTGCTAAAGAAGGTGCCGTCCTTATCAATCGCAATCATCTCTCCATCCTCTGTCTCAACAATCTCCAATGTACCAGCCGCCGCAGCCTTTTCGATCGCCGCCAACTTTTCGCGCGTGTACCTCTCCAGATCGGGTCCTCCCATGTTGCGCAGTTGCCGCTTGTAGGACTTTTCGGCTTGTTGGTTGTAGTCGCGGAAGGCAGTGTCATCGCGGTGCGCCTCCTTCTTTTTCATACGCTTGTCCCACCGCTCTGATTCCTCGACCGTCCAGTCCCAAGCCCGCTTGCGCTCAAAGTCGCCCCCGGCATCTTCAATGTCGGCTTTCAGCAGCTTGTGAGAGGCAATCGCGTGGCGACGGCCGAGGGCAGTGAGTTGGCTAGGGTCGCTCTGGAGGCGCTGGGATTCTTTGGTGGCTTCTTTGAGATTTTGCTGCGAGGATGACTTGGCGCGGGCTTGGAGGGCACGGAAACGCTCGGCACGCTCGCGAGCTTTGGCGGCCGCAGAGTCTGCAGCAGAGGTGGATGTGGGTGGAGTTGACGAGGACTGAGATGTTGCTGCGGTGTCAGGTTGTGCGGTCTCCGAGGCTGATAGAACCGGTGGTGGTGAAGATGACGTCGTTGCGAGCGCTGCTTCTGTGACCGATGGCTCCTCCTTGGAATCGGTCACGGTCTGATTATTTGGCTCTGTCGTGGACTCGGCGACGTCGTTTTCTTGTTGAGTGACTTCTGCCTTGTCTTCGGGCTCGGTCTTTCTTTTCTTTTCAGGAGGCATTTTCAATAGACTTCGTTTTGTTGAGATGTGTTGTGTGGGTACCTAAGTAGTTGTGTGGTGTGAAATCCGGATTGTGTCAATGAAGCGGAAAGAAAACAGCCTCTCTGAAGCTGCTGCGCTGTGCTGTGCCTGGGCTGGTCTGGACGCTGGGGCCAGTGCCTGGCAAGACGGAAAGTGGAATGCTGAGCAAGCCTTTCTACAGCGATTGTATACGATAGAGTGATGCATAAGTGGGCCGTGAGAGCCTGTCTTTTAGGTTTAGCGCCGATCATTACAGGACATTTAGCGGCTTTCTAGCGCTCCTTCCCCAGATTTTGCAGACAGCGCCAAGAGGGGGGAGTTGAACGTCTCGGCCCGCCTCGTACCTTCTCCGTGCCGTCTTCGACCAAATTGAACTTGCACTCTTCACCATAAAGTACCTTTGTACCTGTTACACAGAACACGGCATCGCAACCAATATGAAAGGAATATTAGGCAGACCGGCCGAGGAGATGAGGAGAAAATGGAAGGCACCGCGGGAGGGTGCAACCGGTCAAGAGGGAAGGAGGGTTTACTTGACTGATTGATGGTTCCTTGAGTGCTCTCCTTCTCGCCGTTACCCTCTTGCCCTATGCCCTATGCCGCCAGCTTCGCACATTCAATACTCACCTTGTATTTCTTCACAGTTAAAGTTGGTGACACAAAGCCCAGCCTCGTTTCCTCCCAATCACAGCAGTTCCCAGCCGCCAGTAACGCCTACAGTCGTCGCGTATCTTGTCAGGTAAGGCTGGATCGCCAAACTCTCACGCGCAAGTGGACGGCAAGCATGATACCTTATCGGAGGTGTTGCTGGCCTGCATTATCTCGGCTTCAGCTAGTCGCGATATCCTCACCAAGATGGCACCTTCGGGCATTCCAGCGAGTCCAGGTTTCGGCCGCCTACTCCATAATGCCCAAAAGGAAGAAGAAAGAGAAAACCACAGAGAGCTTGGTTGACGTTGATGACTCCTTTTTCACCTCGAATTCTCAAAAATCCGGGGACATCCAGGGAGTTGAAGCTGGACTGGATGAGCCTCAAGTGGAAAGCCCAAGAGTCCGCAGAAAGGAGATGCGGGAGCTTAGGAACCGGTACTTTTGGAAGCACTGGGTGCAAAAGCACCCAAACTACGTCTGGAATAGGGCTGGTCGCAGAGATCAACAAAGGTCCACGATCAACAAAGATGGACTTCATACAAAGACCAATGATGAGAGTGTTGTCAACTATCCTGAAACCGAAGCTGAAAGAAGACAGGAGAGAGTCAACCTCTGGAATACGTGGGTTATGAACCACCCGACTTTCAAGCACAGCAAATTCGGCCAATTAAGAAGCACGGGGAAAATCAAGGGCGATGGTCAAGCCAGCCTCATGAGAGATCGAGCTAACAGGGTCGGTCGTTACTTCAGAACCCTAAGAGTCGGTCAAGAAAACAACACTTTTCTTCGTTTCCAAAAGATTCCAGTGAAAGATCGCTTGATGAAGAGACTCGTTCGGAAGATCGACTTCAGATCCGCCAAGTTCGGCCAAGCCTATTTCAGGCGCTTGAGAGTAGGCCAGATTCACAATGACTTCCTCAAGTTCCACAAGGTCGACCTGAGAAGGCCTCAGCCAGGGCGAATCTACCTCAGAAGCCTTCGACTTGGCAGTGATTCCAAGTTCGACAGGTTCAGGAAGATTCTTTTCGACGCAGATGGCGACCTCAAGGCACGCAGGAAGAAGGAAAGGAGAAGCAGTAAAGACCTAACGGAAGACCATTGGAAGAAAATGACTAAGAAGACACCCGAGAATATCGCTGCCGAAGAAAAGGAAGAAAAACTGGCAAGAGGAATCCCCGACCATTGGACGATTGAGCAATGGGAATACATCACCAAGTTTCCCAACCACAGGACTGCAGAGGAATGGAAGAGGATAAGGAACTTCTCAAGTAATCTCGGCCACAAGCGAGCTATCGCGAAAGCGGTCGAACTAGAAACCTATCAAATATCCGACCTGGTGCTGGAGCTGGACGCCCACGACAATCCCTTTGTTCGTCCGTTCAACGCAGACGATGCAGCTGAACAGACCAAGCAGTGGCCGCACCTCGACCCAGATCAGCAAGAGATTGTCAGACGCGCGATCTCTGTCGCCGAAACTGTTGCTGAATCCAAAACAAAATGGAAGTCACCATTGTTACCATTCGATCACCGTCGGATAACAGAACGTGATGTCCTGTCAGTGGCATTACTCGGCCTTGTCTCCGAGTCCACGGGGTTACAAAACCACCCAACATCGGAATCAGGCACTCACGAACCAAGTCTTGGATTCCTCACCATGTCCGACCTCCTCGAAATAGGTGTACCTGTTTCATACTCAACAAACCCTCAGCGTCTCACCCACCTCCTACTCCACCGCATCGAAAAAGCCCAATTCCCCGCCCACCAAGAAGTCAACTTCCCCCCATCCTCGCTCTTAGAAGCCCTAATTCAGTCCTCATCCTTCCACCAGCTCCGCCGCATCATCGCTCCCCTGCTTCACACAGAAGAAGGCTGTTTTCTCATCTCTCAGTGCCAGGATACCATCCTAGCAGCATGCAGCAGCAAAAACGGTTACAGTGTTGATGACGAGTACTACGTCTCCACGGTCTTTGTCTTTCTCAGAACCATCGCCAGCCGTTTGGCAATGATGGATCTTAGATTTGAGATACCCGCGGACCTTTGGCCTACTAATTATGCTGATCTGTTCTTTCTGGAGTGTCCGGGACTAGTAGTAGCGGGAGCGAAGGAGCAGGATGGTGGAAGCGCTGGACAACTTGAAAAAGATGAAGAAGAAGCACAAGAAGAAGGACAAGAACCCCTAGAGAAGGACGCGGATTAGGCATCCGTTCAGGGTATTGAGCTTCCTTTGAGGTCGGGAGAAAGGTCGCCCAGTTGAACGAAGTATTGGGGCCAGTCTTGCATTTTGGTCGGGGCAAGGCTGGATGAATTAGATGCTTGTGTTATCATAGTCAGTTTTTGTGTGTCAAGGTAACCTTTCTTGCAGTAACGCTAGCCAAAGCGTACTGCCCCGTTCCATAATCATCCAGTTAACTGATTATTATTGCTAAATAACTTTTCCAAGAACCGCAAACGATATTCAAGTTGCACAACCCTCGTTAAGCATCGCCCGGGATTGGCTCCCACGTAGAAACTACCTTACTTGATATCTTCAGCGTTGACTCACTCACCACTCCAACTTTCCTCAGCCCTGTAGATTTAAAGACATGATGAAGGCCTAGGGTATGGGTGGTTGCAAGCCGTCGGATTTCTCAGTGTACACATGAAAGCTGAGACTTTAGCCTGGGGGAAGCATATCATTGGATCCAGTCCGCGCGCGGTAGCCGGTGTGTGGGAACACAACATAATCCCATCGGGGAAGAAAAGCCAAGCATTTCTTCTCCCTCCCTCCTTCCTTTCCTTGGATCACATCCACCACAAGACTCGACATGGCAGAAGGAACGACCTCACCCACAATACCTTTGGTTAGTCTGCAGAGTGTGACCTCGTAAACTCGGGTACGAACCGAAAGAAACTTAGACGTGTTTTGATCAGGTTGTTGTCGCGCAGTTGCCCATCGTTCCGTCTTCAGCCCAATACCGGAGGGAATACGGAGTGATACCTACCCCTGCGCCTCTTCTCGTCTTACACACCACTATTACAGTCTCAGTGTCTCGCAAAAGCCAATCATGGTAGCAGTAACCGCTTGGTCGGTATCGGGTCGCAGATTTTGTACGACTGCTGGGCTGAACCTTTCAATTAACGTTTTGCTTTCCGACTGGGTTGCTTTCTTGTTCTCAAGACCATCGGGACGCCTCCAGGTGGCTATGAGTCTAGGCTGGGTCCCTGGACAGGTTTCTGTTGAAGAGGGACGAGTAGACGAGTGATGGCCAGCTCACCGTTAGGGCTGTCTCCTCCGACATCGTCAAACTTGGCACCGCGATGTTTTCTTCGGGGTTAGTTGTGAAAGGGAAACTTCCGTAGAACCCTCGTTTGTTTGTTGGCCCCTCTCATGCCTTTTGCCATCTTCTTCTTCTTCTTCTTCTTCTTCTTCTTCTTCTTCTTCTTCTTCTTCTTCTTCTTCTTCTTCTTCTTCTTCTTCTGTCATCGTCAGTTCCATCCTCAACGAGTGCTGTCTGATCACTCTTCAGCTCCGCGTTGCTGGAGTGCCTACGCCGCCGCCGTGGTTAAGTGAAAGCATGGAAGGGGTTGATCCGATCACTCGCTTGTCAATATGACTTCTACTCAGGTCCTATGTCTAGGAGCATCGTCGTGGCAGCCTAGACCATCGACGACGCAACGACCTTCACGATCGCCGCTCGTTCCTCAGTCATGGAGACTTCTCCTAGTGCCCTTATTTCTCACCATCATCCAAGTCTCCCACGCCCAGCTTGACCCCATTAGAAACTTCTGCCGAATTTTTGGCCACCAAACCGCCGTGATCGACAACAGGCTCTACATAGACGGTGGTTTCATCAACTACAACCCCATCTCCCAGTATCCAGCCAACTACACGAGTGAGCGATTCTGCCACCCTGCTGCGGTACTCTCACGGCTAACGTTTGTCTCACAGACACCGCTCTCCTCTACCTCGACCTCTCAACCATCACCGAATCCGGCATGCCCCCTCTCTTGGCCACTTCTCCACCAAAGAACTCCTCCGTCCCCTCCGTTCACGGCGCCGCCCTCTGGGCCGACCAACTCAACAAGCGATTGTATCTCTTTGGCGGCGAACCTCCTCCTTCGCTTCCTACGTCGAATTACTACCTGCCCTCGTTATGGTACTTTGACGCTGTGTCGGAAGGGTGGGGACTGGTTGCCCCCAAGAACAACCCAAATCAGGTGAAGATAGACGGAGTGTCGTACGGAGCTGGGGCCAGTGTGGAAGAGAGAGGGGAAGGGTATTATTTTGGTGGATGGATTACTGATAGTAGTACGGGGAATTCGACGGGAGTGGCGTCAGGGGGGTTGGTGAAATTTGATTTTGATGAGGGACAGTGGTCGAGAAACGAAGGGCCTGATCAAGATGAACATGCAAAAGTAGGGAGGGCAGAAGGAGCTATGGTGTTCATCCCCATTGGGGATGGCGGGATGTTGGTTTACTTTGGGGGACTGATGCAGAGCCAGAGTGAAGATGATAAAAAGAGTGGGAATGTGACAACAGAAGGCCAGCCGATGGAGATGATTTATCTGTATGATGTGCTGAGTAGTAAGTGGTACGTGCAGAACGCAACGGGGGAGGTTCCGGGTAAGAGGAGGCGGTTCTGCGCCGGTGCGACGTGGGCAGGTGATAAGAGCAGCTATAATATGTGAGTGTGTCCTCTGATGGCCCCTCTTCAACCCCTTTTTTCTGGCATTTGGCCATTGACAAGATGCCAACAGATACATCTATGGCGGTGCCTCGACTCCCCCGGACAACCACTCTGGTTACGACGACGTATACATCCTTACCATTCCCTCCTTCCAATGGCTGAAGCTGTATCCCAAGCCCTCCGACAACTCTGATCCAAGTCAGAATAACCAGCAAGGGGGAGCTTACCCCCATCACTCTCTGACCTGCAACGTCATTTCCCAGGCCCAAATGCTGATTATTGGGGGAAGCTTCCCCCTCTCGACCGACTGTGATGTGCCCTCCCAGTTCGGCACACATAATCTCGACCTAGGCGAGCAAAATGCCAAAAAGGAACCGTGGCAGTTGTTCGACTCAAATTTGACCACATATGCCGTGCCGGATGTGGTGGTAAAGGTAGTGGGAGGTGGGAAGGACGGCGGAGCGACCAAAAGGGAACCTGAGAAGGGCTGGGCACATCCGGATTTGAAGGTCCTGCTGACGAGGGGAGCAAAGTTTGCGGCGAGAACTGCAACGCGGAGTGTCCCGAGTGCGACAGGTAGTTCTGATGCGAACAGAGGAGGGACAGACCTTTCGAAGGGGGCAATTGCTGGAATCGCGATTGGTGGAGCAGTTGCTATTGTTGCGGCGCTGGTCGGGGCTTGTTGGTTCATCAAGCGACATCGACAACGAAGGATTCTGGACCGGAAGAACAGAAGGGAGAAGTCTCTTGCTGATGGCGCCAGGTTGGGTACTGTGGCTTCACACTCGGATGTGCCACCATGGAGCCCGGGGATGACGGCTACAACCGGATATACATCCACAAGTCCGTGTTCTGACGGCCCGTTCCAGAGACAGCAACAGGGGAATAGCACTTTTTCGGTCAATGTTCCTCGCCCGCCCGCGGAGTTGGAAGGAAATACGTACTGGCAGGGGCCAGACGGCGTAACGTACGAGCTGACAAGTCCGGGGTCGGTGGTATCTGAACAGCACCAGCAAACTCTCCAAACCAAGGTCGATTCCCAAGGACGGGTGTGGATGCAGGTCCCACCAGCAGGAAGAGGTGATCACGGTAGTCCTATGTCAAGGCATAGGACAGTAACCAGAATTGGGTCAGAGTTTGGGACGCCCACAACAACAGCAGCTGACCCTCATGGAATGGAATCCCCACCGACACACTCGCCGACAGAGCCACAAGAACTCGGCGTCAATCCGAAACGCGGAAGTACGGATGCCACAACAATCTTGACGGGTTCGGCAGGCTGGGATGCGGCAAGGGGAAGACCTAAGCATCACACTTTCTATCATCCATGAACAGGCGTTTCTGCTATAGTGTCTCTTAGCCTTTTTCGGCAGAGATCCTGAAGCTTCGGCATTGTTTAGGCCTAAAGAGTGTAGAGGATGGCCCAAGTCTGCCAGTACGATACCTGCATGTAAACATACCAATCATCTTCTTCTGGTATTCGGTTTAGGGGGGGAGGGGGGAGGGGGGAGGACTGTCCAGCAAGGTTGAAGTGATATCAGAACGGGCGCGCGGAGGACCAAAGGGAACACAAATGTTGGACTCCGTCCTCGAGTTTTGTAGAATTCGGATCAGAGCCGAGATCGTTCAGTTCACAGCGAGAACGTGACTGCAATCTCCCCGGCCGTTCAATTGCGCACCGTGGCCACCCGACAGGAAAAGTCACACCTTCCTTGACCTCGGCTGATATGTCACCTAAAACTCAGGTTTCTCTAATGTCGTTCTTGTTGCTCATCTCGTTCAAATGGAAGGCGCGATAACTGGCGACCAGTCAGAAAGGCAATGGTCACAACCCAATGATGACGTGATGGGTGTGCACTTCCATCCTCTGGGAAGGTCCGAATGGTGAAGAACAAGTTTAGGGCGATGCCCTGATGGATGCTTTCTAATCGAGATGTCGTCGCTGCACGTTGAAAATCTGTCGATCGCCTCGTAAAGTGTACCAGCAACTCCATCATGGCAAGTGGTTCTTTTTCGGTGTTTGGTGGCAGGTGTCGAGTTGGATTGCAGACGTGAACACAAACAATAGTAGTATGTAGCTCAGGATGTGGTAACTATGGCCGTAATTACGGTAATGCCTCCACCCTTTACACCTAAGTTGTGATCCACAGTACCAAAACCTGAACCTACCGGTGGATAATCGTACTACATATAGTATTTACAGCGGCATATTCGTCGCCATGGTAACGGCAAGCTAATCATATCATCCGGGACAGTTACAGCGCGACAATCTCCATCTATCTCAAGTTATCTCCCACTTTCTCATTCCCGTCGTTCCACCTGCAAGACACGAAGCCGTCCGCTCACTACCACAGTCATGGAATCATTTCGACCGGCGCCCATCGAGCCTTATCGCGTACTAGTCCACAATTACCCATCCCACGACCCCGACGCCAACCGCTTCGCCCAAGCCTACGAGTATGAGACCGATGGCCTCAAGAGAAACGCGCTTATCTTTCTGGGTGGTCTTGGTGACGGCCCTCATGGTATCCCATATGTCAAAAAGATAGCTAATGCTATCGCTGGTGAATCTGACTACGCGGTCTACGAACCCCGACTCAGCAGCGCCTTCTCGGCCTGGGGATACGGTAGCCTCCACAACGACGTCAGGGAAATTAGTGCTTTGGTCAAGTATTTGCGCACCCCGACGTTTAAGATGGGCAGGATCGTGCTGATGGGCCACTCCACGGGCTGTCAGGACTGCATGTACTACGCCACACACGGCGATGAGATGGGGCTCGAGAAGGTAGATGGGTTCATCTTGCAGGGACCAGTGTCGGATCGCGAGGCGATTCTGGCAGTCTTTGAGGAGGAGTCGCCCGGGAAGGGACAGGCAAGGATGGACCTGAGCGTTCAAGTTGCGAAGAAGATGATAAGCGAAGGAACGGCGCAAGATTGCATGCCGCGAGAGTGGTTGCCAAAGGAGTTTTGGGCTTCTCCGGTTTCTGCTTATAGGTGGTTTTCGTTGGCGAGCTTTGGGTGAGTTTTCTTTGTCCGTGTTGTGGTCAACAGTGCTGACGATGGATATCTCATATCAGCGGTGACGATGACTACTTCTCGTCGGACCTACTAGATGAAAAACTGGCCGAGATTTGGAGCAAGGTTTCCAAGCCGACTCTTATTCTGCCATCCGAGAACGACGAGCATGTTCCAGAGTGGATTGACGTTGTCGATGTGATGGCCAAATGGAAGAAATTCTGTCAGGAGGATGTAATCTCGAGCTTATCGGGCCTCATCCCCGAGGCAGATCACCGAGTGGAATTTGGCCCGGCTGGGGAGCCGGCGAACCTGGCGCAAAGCTGGCTCTGTGATCGGGTGCATGCCTTTCTGAAGCAGCTGGAGCGACACGGGCAAGAAGAAGCCATTGATGCTGCCACCGAGTCCCAGTAATCTGTGACCGATAGCCGTAGATCACATGTCAGGAATCAAAGGGGACTTTGGTGATATCCTCGCATTCGGGGACTACTCAAGAAACCATGGATGACTAATCTGGATCAAGGATACATCGCGGATCCCTTTCATGATGCCCCTGGTGGTCCCCGTAATCACTGGAGCTCTCTCCGGGACACCGGGACGGGATCTTTGGGTGTCGCTGTTTGGGATTTTGGTCGCCGAAGTGCCGCTGCGGGTCTTGGAACTCAGGTTGCTATTGCCCTGGCTAAGCCCCGGGAGTTCGGCGACCCTTTGACTCAATGATACCTTACGAAGGGGCATTCCAACAGCTACAATAAGGCCGTCAAGACAGAAACACCATCTTGGGTCCAACTATATAAAAGAAGAATAAACCATCCCGCAACTACCGCATTTTCTTTCCGGTCAACCATCTCCAAATCCAACATCCCAAACTACCTCTACCAAAATGTGCATGAGCGCGACTTGCCCTACCTGCTGTAAGTTTCTGTATCGCCTGCTGAAACTTTCATATACAGCGTATCCAATCACCCCCCGCATTTGCTTATCGCTGCCTCTGACTTCAACCCCGCCATCGCTTGTTCGAGCTCTCAATATGGCCTCGTAAACCGGGCACTCGAACTGATTCAAGTTCATTTCTGTTCACTAACGACTTCCAACAGCCAAGCAAGCGTGGCGTGGCTGCGGCTCCCACGTCCCCTCCGTCTTCGCGGGCGTCCCCGAAGACAAGTGGTGCACCTGCGAGCCCAAGGTCGAAGTCAACGGCGTTCAGTATCCTCCTCAGGCGAAGTCTACGGGCTTTTTCAGCGGACTGATGGGTGGTAAATAAGCGGGATGATACCATGGCGTTCATGAACGACGGGGTCGAGAAAACTTGGGATGATGATGGGATGCTTTAAATCGACAATCAAACATAACAAGACCACTGATGTTCGGAACTATATGCCCGGCATCGGCGTCGTCATGAGGGGTCCGAGGGGGCCTTTGCACTTGCTGCCTTTCATTGATTGGTACATTTCACTCAAGTTCTCGGCTTGCACTGGCCTGGCTTTCTCTATCAATGACTTTTGCTGACTCACCTATCTTCTTATTTTTCATTGCTCCTCTTGCCTTATCATACTTGGCCGACAAAGCCTCATCACCCATCAGTGATCATCCAGGTTGACAATCTCTTTCCACTCAACCAAACAATGACGCCCTAAACCTCACCTTCTTCCCATTCCCATTCCCATTCCCATTCCCATTCCCATCCATACCACATCCTACCTCCCGGGTATCTCCCGATCCCCCTTATCCCCATCCCCTTTCTCCCCTTTACACACAAC